CTCCATTTGGCTGCTAAACGCCAGTACCAATCCATAGCCATCCCTGCCATTAGTTCTGGAGACGGTGGCTTTCCCTTATCCCAGTGTGTGGAGACCATTGTTTTGGCCATCAAGGAAACCTTCCAGTATAACTGGGCTGGATGCACCTTGAAAGAGGTTTACCTTGTGGATTTAGCTGAGAAGACTGTTGAGGCCTTTGCTGAAACTGTGAAAACTGTATTTAAAAACAACAAGCCTGGTACTGCTTGCCTGCCCAGTGTACCAGCAGGAGTCCAGCCGGGTCCGAGAAACACTGATGGAAACAGACAAATGCTGCTGTGCCCAGGCGGTCTGAGGATCCTGTTGGTGAAAGGAGACGTGCAGAATGCTGTGGTGAGTGTCCCTTGTACAGAACACCCACTGGGTGCTGCAACTCCAGGGAGTCTGTTGCCAAAGGAAGGTTAGGATCAAGGGAGAATTAGGGAGAGAATCCCATGCTCTCCACGGTGACCTGGAAACAAATTTCCTTAGAAAATTGGGCTACTTCACCACAGCATTTACTGATAGAGGGTGTCCAGTTATCTGTGGGACCTGGAAGTATATTCAGATCACTAGGTTTCCAGTAAAGGTGAAAATCCACAATAATAGCTTACAATTTCAAGGGTCTGTATACTTTTCAGGGCCTTCAGACCTGTCATATTTTGGCAAATCTGAGGTTAATTTCCTATCAATTTTACTGATAATAGATATAGAAAAATTAGAGTGTAGAGTGGGGACAGAAGACAGGAATCTTGTCAATGGAGCTGAACCAGGTTGAGCCTGGAGGCCTGAGTCTGAGGGCCAATCAGCACCCAGCACCAGTAAGAAGCTGTGGGAAGGAAAGTGAAAACTTCAGCTGGAAGTGGTCTGAGTACTATGTGGGGACAATTATTGTAGGTCTGCCAGGGGGGTCATGTGTTTTTTCAAAAACATATTTAACAACCTCTTCAACACAGGCTCTAGCTAATGGAAATAGCCCTGGAAGCCCCTGCTGTGCCAGATGTTCCTTCCTTCCTTTGAGGATTGTGGGCAGGCCCGGGGAAGAGATTCCTAGGGAAGGCCATTTGCCTATCTTCTTTGGAGAAATATCTACTTAGATCCTTTGTCCACTTTTTAAATTCGTTATCTTTTTAAAAAATATATTTTTTGTTGATTTCAGACAGGAAGGGAGAGGGAGATAGAAACATCAATGATGAGAGAGAATCCTTGATCGCTTCCTCCTGTACACCCTCTACTAGGGATGGAGCCTCAACCCAGGCATGTGCCCTTGACTGCAGTTGAACCTGGGATCCTTCAGTCCCCAGGTTGATGCTCTATCCACTAAGCCAAACCAGCTAGGTCAATTGGGTTATCTTTTTATTACTGAATTTTAAAAGTTCTTTATGTACTTTGGATACAGGTCCCTTACCAGATTATGATTTGCAAATATTTTTTCCCATTCTGTGGGTCATCTTCCTTATATAATAAGCTTAAATGATAATTAGAAGAATAATTGCTAACAATGATTACTTAGTATGTGCCAAGCACTATGCTAAGTGCTTGGCTTGCATTTTCAATTCAATGCCATGAGGTAGATTCCAGGATTATTATTCTTCTCAAAGAGATGAAGGAATGAGGCTTAGAGGGGCTAAGTAATTTGCCCAACTCTCACAGCTAACAAATGGTAGAGGCAAGATTGGAATCTGTTCAGGCAGGCTTAGAGCTAAGTAATTTGCCCAACTCTCACAGCTAACAAATGGTAGAGGCATGATTGGAATTTGTTCAGGCACTATTTCAAAAATATTATAAAATTATTTTATTTCTCATAAAAAAACCCCAAATGCATACACAAGAAACTCTTTGACCGCGAGTCAGTAATTGGAATGAGTTCCATTCCTTTTCCATCTTGAACACTAAATAGTAATATATTTCTTCCATTCCTTTTTATCCCATAGATGTTTGAGTTCCTATGCCACAGTACCTGCCGTGTGTTGCTCGTCCATGACCCATGCAGGACAGCTTTGAAAATGACTTAGTCATATTCCTTCCCCTCTCTTCTCTTGGTGTCTTACTCTAGTTGATTATTCTGTTCACATTAACTTTTCTGCTGAAAAAGCCTCCATGGCTTCTCACTGTCTGTCGGGAAGTCCAGATCGCCTGGCACTTGAGGTCCTCTGCAGTCTACCCCCCAGTAACATTGCCAGCCTGGCTTGCACCATTTTGCTGCAGAAGCTGTCTATCAGCTCAACAGCTCACACCCACCATGCATGTGTTCCCCCTTCTGAATGATTTCCCCGTCTCCCCCTGCCCGCTTCAACTATTCCCAAAGAGCACACATCCACCAAGGTGTACTCAGTGGCCACCAATGGCACTTCCTCTGGACTCCTTCAGTGATCCCACTTGTTGACAGCTCTCTTTTGTCCTGGAGTGTAACTTAAATAAGTATCTAATAACACATTATCTTGGGTGGTATTTGTCTCTGAAAACAATAATCTTTAGTTGTCCCCATTGTGCCAAGTCCAATGGCTCAAATACAGTAATCCTTGATGAATGTTTTTTGTTAGAATTTGAAACAAATTGTTGGTTTTGTCTTTAGGCTGACGTTGTCGTCAACTCCATTCCTCGGGACCTCAACCTTAATAGTGGGCCCCTTTCTCAGGCCCTCTTGGCAAAAGCTGGGCCAAATCTCCAGAAGGAATTGAATGCAGCTGCACAAGGGATAGCTGTTGATGTGGGCACAATTCTTCAAACCACTGGTCAGAGTGTGTCCTACCAAGTGCTTCACGTGGTGGCTCCGAACTGGAACAATGGTGATACATCTTCACTCAAGGTGGGGCCTGGTTTTAAATTCTCCGGGAAATTGGGTAGCTTTTTGTTCTCCTTTCAATAAAATGTAGATTTCATTCTGACTGTTTCTTTTCTGTAATTACTTCACATTCTTGGCAGGTTCCATCATTATGGCCCTTTCTTTTAGTGTAGCTGAGTGCTCCTGAATACTAGTTATTGAAGATGGGGAAGAGTTATTGAAGGTAGCACATCTTTTCTTAAAAATTTATTTCAGAGAGGAAGGGAGAGGGAGAGAGGGATAGAAACATCAATGATGAGAGAGAATCATTGATCGGCTGCCTCCTGTACGAACTCCTACTGGGGATCGAGCCTGCCATCCAGGCATGTGCCTTGACCAGGAATGAAACCATGACCTCCTGGTTCATAGGTCAATGCTCAACCACTGAGGCACTCTGGCCAGGTGAAGATAGCACATCTTTAGTGAGGAAGGCAAGGTGAGGGTATGAAGGATTAGAACAGTAGTTGCTTTGATTCTTTCCTTCATTGCCAAGTGCATGTGGATCTTTTTGAAGGGTTTCGTACATTCCCTTTTCCTGTATTTTTCTTTCCCCTTCTGACAGACCTTAGCCTGCCTTTTGTTCAAAGCAGAAAGGAGTAGAAAAATATCACAGTCATAGTTGCTAAATTCTCTTTTTTTGGTCCTAGCTCCCATTTCTAGGCAAATAAATGTATGAGGATGTGCTTTGTACTTTTCAGATCATGCAAGACATAATCAGAAAATGTTTGGAAATGACTGAGAACTTGTCCTTAAACTCAATTGCGTTTCCAGCCATAGGAACAGGCAATTTGGGGTTTCCTAAGACTGTTTTTGCTGAATTGATCATTTCGGAAGTGTTCAAATTTAGTAGCAACAATCAACCAACAGCTTTACAAGAGGTTTGCTTTCTGCTGCACCCGAGTGATCACGGGAATATTCAGGTACAGCTTCATTCTTTTCTGGTTATTTTGTCAACTGAGTGCTAATGGTATCCAATGTCTTCTTGGTCAAACAGGTTGTTTCTTTCATGTATTTCCCATGCAGGAAAGTAAAAGAGCACTGTAGACTAGTTGTAGCATAGCAATTTTCAAGCAAAGTTATGAATATAGAAAAAAATTTAGGTTCTTACTTAGGAAAATTTCAAACATGTACAAACATAAACAAAATCTATATATAAAAAGCCAGCAACCGCGACAATCGGAACGACCGATGACTGGTCGCTATGACGCCCACTGTGGCCAGCGAACCAGCCTGATCAGGGGGTGGGGCCCACCGGCCAACCTACTGGAGCCCCTACCCCCGTCCTGCCTTCCCCTGATAGTTCTCTCCCACCCTGAGGAAGGGCAGGGCCAGCCAGCCAAACGTCCCCCTCCCCCCAACACACACACCCTGTCCTTCCGATCGGCTGGTCATGCCCCCGATCGGCCCACTCTACCATGATAGGCCTGCAGCCCCTCCCCCTAACTGGCCCCG